ACTCTACCAAGAGGTGATTGATAGTCACTCCTGGGGCTGGCTGTTGACAAAGCTGGGATGGTGGCGGTTCTTTTGGAGGCCACTTGCCAGCTAGGGCCCAGCCAGCACCTGCTCACCGGTGAGGGTGTGGGATTGCGGGGCAGAGGAACAAGAGGGGCTGAGGGAGGGCCCTCGGGGACTCTGCAGTCTGCTGGGAGAGGGGACCCCGCCCTCTGAGCCCTCAGGTGTCCGTGACAGGCTTCTCACTGAGATCTAGGAGGTGGGAGAAGGCTGGAGCCACTGAGCCCCAGAGGGAGAAGAGGGCTTGCTGCTCTGGACGGTTCCATGTAGAAGACTCAGAAGCGCCTTTGCCTTCAGGGGGAATGCGGGGCCAGCCCCTGAAGCCTGGGACCATTTACCCAGTGCTGCCAAGACTCCTCGCCTTCCTGCCCTTGTCCTGTCAGAAGCGGCTCTGCTGCAGGAGCTACAGCCAGGTAGTACCTGCTGTCCAAACGACCCCCTCCCTTCCCTTCGCAGATGCCACCAGACCGTCTGGGTTCCCTTCCACCTCTTTCCTTTCCCCCTGCCCCAGCGCCCCTCTCTCTGAGGAGCTGCTAAGCGTGGACTGTCCCACAGCAGCTGTCCCAGCTGCTACCACAGGGCTGAGCTGGCTCCAAGGGCAGAAGGATCTTAGGGCCCCTTAGAGCTCTTAGAGCTCAGCCCAGGGCGTCCTGCTCCTCCTCCCCACCCCCCTCGCGCTCCCTCTACCAGGGATCTTTTCTGCACAAATCCTTTTACCGCCCTGTGTCCACACTCCTTGCTTTGCGTGTCCCCCAGGGCCTCTCTGTGGACACCAACATGTTTCTGGAAGTCCCTCAACAGAGGTTTGGTTTAAGGCAGATTTATGAGTTCAGCCTTGGCTGAGGCCTTTTCCCCATGGAGAAGATGGGGAATGGTGTGCTGAGGGACAGCAGAGACAAGGAGGCGGTGGCCCTGGATGGCTGGGCCCATCAGGGGAGCAGCCCCACCTTTGTCCTCCAGGAGACCTCCCTGTGACGTGGACTCAGGGCCCCCGCCTCTGTCCTCACTCTGTCAGGCACCCCCCCTCCCCTGAGTCCACTGGCTCTCCAAGGCCAGGACCAATTCACTGTGCCTACTGGGGCAGAGGGCAGAGGTGTCATGGTATAGGGCCGTGGCTGGGGTAGGAGCTTTCCTTGACCATCACCAGCCTATCTAGAGTGGAGGTTCTAGAAATAGTTGTTCTCAGGACCCCTTTACATTCTAAAAAAAAGGTGGGCTGGGTGCAGTGGCTCAAGCCTGTAATCCCAGCACTTTGGGAGGGGAAGGAGAGAGGATTGCTTGAGGCCAGGAGTTTGAGACCAGCCTGGGCAATATTGAGACCGCATTTTTACAAAAAAATACCAAAAAAAAAAGAAAGGAGGACTCCGAAGTGATTTTGCTTATGTGGGTTATATCTATTGACAGTCACCACATTGGAAACTAAAATAGAGAATTTTTAAAAATATTTATTCTAAAATTAACCCATCATATGTGAACATACATAACATTTTTACACAAAATAATTATTTTCCATATTGGGAACTATTTAGTGAGAAGAGTGGTAGCACTTTACATTTTTGCAAATATCTTTAATGTCTGTCACAATAGATAGCTGCTGCAACATCCCATCTGTTGCAATATCACGGCTTGAGGCTTCTGGAAAATTCCGCTACACTCTTGAGAGACTAAGAGTGAAAAACCCAAAGAGCTTCTTACCTTATGAAAATAGTTCTGGCCATTTACAGCACTATAAGAGCCTCAGGGCACCCCCCAGGATTCCCAGACCACACTTTGAATACCTGTGATCTGGAGCAGGGGTCAGCAGACTTTGCCTGTAAGGACCAGATAGTAAATATTTGAGGCTTTTCAGTCTTTGTCTCAGCTGTTTAACTTGCCAAGGTATCAGGAAGGCGGCCGTAAATAATACTTAAGCAAATGGGTGTGGCTGTACTCCAATAAACAGGTGAGGGCCTGGGTCTGGCTTACCCCTGATCCAGAACAGAATGAGCTTGCAGGGGCCCTGAGTTTAGGGCTTGTGCCACAACAGGGAGGTGCCTGACCCATCCTAGCCAGGCTCCTCCCAGAGGAAGGGAAAGGGAGTTTCTCGGAGGAGACTTAGATCTCCTAATTTTTCTAGTTCCCAGTTTGGTAAAATCCACAGGCTCCGCTGTAATACTTAGATATCCCTGGGCCTGCTCTCTTCTCCCACAGCCCCATCTAAGCCTCCAGCCCGCCGCCCTGCTCACAGAAAGCATATGCACGCCCAGGTCTGTGCAGGAGGTGGCAGGGAAGTCTTCCTCACCATCTCTGCCTCCAGCCCCACCTTGGGTCTTGGGTACTTGGGGCTGGGTCTTGGGTCTTGAGTCTTGGGTACCTGGGGCTGGGGTAGGTGGTGCAAGAAGCCCATGTGGGCCAGGTCCCTCGTGGAATACCCATCCCTCTGCCTCCCAAGCCAGGCCACCCTAGTACCATTTATCATCCCCGCTCCTGTTTCCTCTTGGAGCTTCTTTCCCACATACCCTTGTTCCTAGGCGATAAAAGCTGATCCAGGTTGTTGAACCTGAATCTCAGCTGCCTCCAACCGCTCCTGCCCGCCCCATGCCCTCAGCCCTCAGACCTCATGGGAGTAAAAGCCCCCCAGTGAGCAGGTGTGTTTCTTCCTCTGCTGCAGAGACAAAGGGGGTTACTCCTGGTTCTGGTTCATTTGCGGATCTGTCTCTGATAGGACGTGTCTCAGGGGCGGCATGGGGCTTGCCAGGGAGAAAGACCCTGTCTCTCCGCTGGGGATTCCCATTTCTGCCTCCCCTTGGCTCACCCTGCCGCCTGCCAGCCGCTCTTGCACCCTGACCTCGCTGGGCTGGGTGCCGTCTAGCTGGAGGTTATGGCTGCTGGACCCCACGGGACCGTCCCAGGCACTAAGCAGAACAACATTGCCTGGAAAGAGCCCGAGGCAGCCTGAGAAACTTGCAGTGCTGGGACCTGCTCCTCTTCAGCCCTCCACCTGCTTCACCCTTCCTGTGCCCTCCTTGTCTCCTCTGCCAGGGCGATGCAGTCACCCCAAGGGGTCTGATATTAGTGGCAAAGGCTCGAGTCTGAGCAGGTCAGGGCAGGGCAGGCCACAAAGTCTACTCAGACACCAAGAGAAGAGCCACGCTATCAGGCAACCCCAACACACGCCCAAAGCCGGTTCCCCTTCACCCCCAGAAGAAGACTGTGTGCCACCCACTGACGAGTAAATTTGTTTGCTCTTCTTCCTACCACCCTGGAACGCAGCCAGCAAGATCCTGTTATTTGGCTTTAAAAATAGAACATTCTAGCTGGACTTTTATGGTCTTGTGAAGAACACTGTGCTCACGCCCTCCCACACCTGGTCTCTGCCCCTGCCTGGCCCTATCCAGCTGCCCAGAGCAGCTCTGCACAAGCTCTCCAGGGTCCCTCAGCACAGACTTGGTCCCAGGCAGATTTATGAGTTCAGTCTTGGCTGAGGCCGTCTCCTCATGGCTCCCAGCCACAATCCAGCTGTTCTCCCACGTCTCATCAGCTCGGGGCTGGGACGTTCTGTGTCTCCTTTTCTACCTCCCCCCCAACTCGCCGAGTCACCCCTTCTGCCCTCTTTTCCCTGCTGCCCTGGCCAGCCCTGAACAGGCTCATGGTGCCAGAGCCAGACCCCAGCCACTCCCCGCCCACCCAGACCTCATTTATATTCATGATGACAACATGGCTTGTGTCTTAGGATAACCCTCTTGGCACTCTAGTCTGCCTCGCCCATCTCCTCCCACTCTGAAGTGCTGAAATTTAACAAAAAGGTGGTTCCTTCCCAGCCTGGCCTCAGGTGCCAGGCTTACAGTTACTCCTCATAGGGAAAGTTACTTTCAGTGTGGGTAGACTTTGTGGTTAGTCCTCAAATTATTTGTTTAGGGCCAAAGGTGAATTTCATTAAAGCTCTGTCACATTTCTGGCAGGATTTGGGGGAAAGCCTTGGAGGGCAGGCCCTCCCTCAGGGGAGGAGCTGGCCCTGGGGAGCTCGTTTGTGGACAGACTAGAGAAATAACTCCAGAGCCAGCGAAGCCTCCAGCAAAAGTTATGTAAGAAACCCATTGAATCCAGGCCTGTCTTGTTTTCCCTTGAGGTTAGGTCTCTAACACAATGGAAAGAGAAGACAGTAATTATCACCCTGTGGAAAAGATATGAGTTCTTCTTTTAAGGTCCTTGGCGGATGTACCGAGGCTCAGTGTCCTTCCTGTGCGGGGGTGCTCTTTGGTTGAGGTAAGGTAGAGCTGCCTCTGGGGTAAGATCTCCTCAAACTGGGCAGCTGGGATGATCTGCAAGCTTCTCTGGAAACTGGAATGTGAGCAATGTAAGCTTTATGGCTTAGCCTGTAGCCATAACTCATGTGAAGGAAGGAGTGGAAGGGTGCAGGGGCCCGGGGAGGGAGAGAATGGAAGCAGGAATCCTGAATCCCTCCCTGCCTCTTTGACATTGGGTGAGCATCTCATGATGCAATAAAAAAAAAAAAAAAAACACCCACATTCCCTTCCTCAGTTTCCCCTCTGGCTATGTGACCCCAGCTCAGATCTGTTCACACTTAGAGACACCAAGAGCCTCTCGGTCCCCTGGCTTTCCCATCAGCACCCGGGGCTGCTGTCCAGGCCCCTACCTCCACACCTGTCTTCTTACTACCTGCAAGGCTTCGTAGACACCTTAGGGGAGGGAACCTGGTGATGGTGTCCTAACTCAACTTTGGACCTGATTAGCCCCTTCCACTCCCACTTCGCAGCATCTGCCATAGAAGAACCACTGTGGAGTCCCGTCCTGGGGACCGAGGAGGAGGACCTCCATCCTGTGCTCCTCTGTACGCTCCACAACAGAAGTGACCGCTGCTTCGCTGGGTCTGTGTGCTGGACCTTGGGAGCTGAGCCTGAGCCAAACCTGGTGGCTGAGAGTCAGAGTGAAGACAGGTAGGGCTGGTGGAAAGTCCAGGTCCCTAAGTGTGAGCTGCAGTCTAGGAGAAAAGGGTGAATGTGATGATTATTTGTCACCAAGAGCTGGTGAGAGTGGCTTGGAGGGAAGGAGAGTGTCTGCCTCTCCAGAGACTTGGGACCCCATCTCTGCATCTCTTGTTCTTTGGCCGGAGGCGGTGGCTATGGTGGAGTCAAGGCCAGAGCGCCCCAGGCCTCCAGCATAAAGACGAGATCGCATCGGCCACTTCTGCAAGACACAGGGTGGGAAGTGAGCAATGCTACTGTCACAGCCGTTCGTAGTCCAGAATCCTTGACACCCACAGCCTGGCTTTCCCTAGGATCCCTCCCTGACGCCCACCCCAGCCATCGCTGCTCTGATAGCAGGGCTCTCTGGCTCACCACCACATACGGCCCCACCCTGAGCCTGGCTGAGAGACATAGGAGGAGCCATCTGAGGAGAGGGAGGTGCAGCAGCACTCAGTGGGAGAGAGGAGAGAGGTGGACGGGAGGTCAGGTGGCCTGGGCAGAGATAGCAACAGCCAGGGGCCAGGCAATAGGCAGAGCAGTAGAGCCAGGAAAATTCCCTCTAAGCAGGTCCTCCAAGGATTGTCCAGCCTTCCAGCAGGAGCATGGGCGGTTGCAGAAAACGCAAGGTGACTCTACCCTGTGGTCTGCCCTCCTCTCTGGCAGCCCCTCCAGCTGCAGGGCCCAGGGCACTGCTCCCTGGCTAACTACCCTCCCCCCCATCCCCCACGCCCGCCAATCTGCTGCAATTCTAGACCTAACTAGGCCCTCATTCATTCATTCTTCAGCATATTTATCGACCACCTACCGCATTCAAGGGCCTTACCTTTGCTGCCATTTTACAGCTAAGGAAACTACTAGGCCACCCCAGGACCCTGCACCAGGTGTCACCATTGACATTTCGGAATTGCCCAGTTTAGTCTCAAATTCTTGCATTTAGGTGTATTTACATGAAAGAAGAAAATCTGCAAGTTTCAAGACTTTCTTTCCCTTCCTTCCTTCTAGGACATTTCTAACTATGACAATTAGGGGAAGGAGATGGTGAAAAGTATCCTCCATAAAAATAAAGTTGAGCCCATTACAATGTTATCATCAGAGTGCAAAAGTGAGCTTTCCTTTATCACACAGCACACTCTCCCCCCAGCTCCTTACAGAGCCACCCCTGCAGTCTGCTCAGTGACTGTGAACATGGGATCTAAAGTCAGACACTTCTGGGTTCAAACTGCATTTGGCCTCTTAGCCTCCCTGAGCTTCGATTTCCTCATCTGTAAAGTAATCCTCATTTAGTTCTGGCACAGATTAAAATGCGCTAAAGCACTTAACCCAAGCTCCTGGCATAGCTTTAGCACTCAAATAATGTTAGCTGTTATTGCAGTGGTGATTACTGTTAATTATACTTTCCCTTCGTCATCTCATTTTGTACTCTGGAAGAGAAGTAAAGCTCCTGTTGGCTTCTATTTTATGTATAATAAAACCAAAGTTCAGGAAAGTTGGGTTGCAGTCTGGCAGTGGTGCATGCAGGGACCTCCCAACCCAGTCCCCACATTGCTACACCTCTGCCCCCTGGTCCCCAGCTTGGTTGCCTCTAGAGCGATGCTTTCTTCTCTCCTGCAACAGAAGCCCAGAGAGCACCGAGGCAGGCACTGTACAATGGGGCGAAGCCCATCTAGGATCTAAGGACACTCGTAGGTGTGGTTCCTTTCCTAGGCCCCAGCCCTGGAACCTGCTCCTTTTTTTCCCCTGACACTAAGAACCCCAGAGTCCAGGAAGCCATTTCCAGCCACCACCCCATGAGAACCAGGGTCAGCCCAGCCCCAAGAGCCTTCTTCCCTCTGAGAGAGCAGAAGAAGCAGGCCCTGATGTCAGCTCTGTCCAGGGCAGGGGGCCCAAGTCCAGTGTCCCCCCATTCCGACCGACCTCCTTCCCCAAGGCCCTGGGCATTAAGATCCCCACACCCAAGACCTGGGGCTCTGGCCTACCTTGAGAGGATGCAAATAACAGAGTCCACGCAGGAAGGGTGGCCAGGCGGGGCCAGGCAACTCGTGGCCGAGTGTGCGGGTAAGGTGGGCTATGTAGCTGGCAGCCAGCACCAGCACGTCCAACTTGGAGAGCTTGGTGTCAGGTGGCACGGCAGGCAGAGCGTCCTGCAGGGCCAGGAAGGCCTGGCGCAGTGTCCTCACCCGGCTCCGTTCCCGGGCAGCGTTCTCAGGACTGGACTCGCTCTGCACAGAGGGCCCCAGTGAGTGGATCTGGCCAGGACCCCCACTTGCCCTGACTTCTACGAACATTCTAGTGCAAGACCTCCTGCCAGAGTATAGGGCGCGAAGAGCAGACATCAAAGGGCCTCTGCCCACCTTTGTCGTTCTCACCCTGCTCATTTTAAAGCTGGGGAAGTTGAGGGAATGCCTGCCCTGGGGTCAGATGGCTGCGGGATGGCAGAGCTCCCTGTGTCTCTCTGCTACTCCACTAAGGCCTCCTCAAAGTTTGGCTCCGTCCCACACCCAAGTCCCAACCCTGCTCATCACGGTGCCCTGGGGCTGCAGGGGAGCTCAGAGCCACACCCTGTTTTGCAGGGCCCAACCCTGACCCAGCTGGGTCCCAAGATGAAGAGACTGCCGTGGTAAAGAGGAAAGGACACTGACCCAGGGTCAAAACACACAGGCTGAAGCCCCGGACCTGCCGCTGACTGTTGCTCGGAGACTTTGGGAAACTCGCATCCTTCCTCTGGGCCTCAGTTTCCTCCAGAGAAGTGAGTTGGGCCCATGCTCTGAGCTGCACTCTGGTTAGGACCAGCTCTGGTTTACCCCACGCACCCCAAGCATGGCGCCTTAGGATCTAAGCGGCCAGTGTCCCTTCTGTAGTGCAGGAACAGTAGGACTGAGTGAGGCTCTGCTATCACAGGTGACATCTCACTGCCCTCCGACTCCTGCCTCCCCAGCTCCCTCTGCAGCTCCAGGATTTCCTTACCCTGCCAAGAGCCAGGCTGCTAGCCCTGGCCCCCTGCGGGCTGGGGGCAGCTCTGCTCCATCTTTGGTTGCTCCAGCTTGTCTCTCCCCACAGGTCCTGCCTTGTCCTGCTGAGACGGCTCCTCTTCCTGTCGGTGCCTGGCAGCAACCGTCCTTTGGCCTTAGCCCGGTTACGCCCCACTGCTGGCATTGCTGGTGCCCCTTTGGCTTCCCTCTGTGACATGCCACTCCCCAGGGTACAGGGCTGCAGCCCACAGGGCAGGAATACAGTGCCTGAGGGGGCCCCTGGGCTCCAGCTAGCTGGTCAGGCTGGTCATCAAGCCGGCAATGTCTAGATCTGAGGAAGCTGGCGCCAACTCAGTCCTGCTTCCCTCCTTGCTCTGGGAAAACCGCCCACCAGGCACAGCCCCCGCAAAAAGCCTCCACCCGCCTCCCGACCCGGCAGAGGGGTGGGGGTGCTGGATGCTGGGAGTGTCCAAGCCCTGGGAGGAAGCCCATGCTGAAGAAGGCAGGAGGACTGGGGGAAGGGAGCACCTCCTGGGTCACGCCTAACCCGGACAGTGGTCCCATGGTGGACCTGCGACTTTAGCTTAGGGGCTCAAGTCCATGGAGAGGTCCTGAACTTCCTTCCTCTGTGCCAGAGGCCGCCTGCATACATCCCTGAAAGGCCTTTCCTCTCCTTGCCAGTGAGGGCGACCTTCCAGCCACATGGTGCTACTCCCAGCCCTCAAACATGTGCCCCATTTCCAACCCACTGTTTTCACATTCACCCTTCCATGCCCTGGAATACCCTCCTCCAGCTCTGCCAGGGAGTGCTGCTCACCCCTCAGGGCTATACCCTTCACCCGCAAGGACTTCTCCAAACCCCACAGAGCCCAGAGCCTGTGCGTCCCTGTTTGACTGGTACGACCACAGCCTGGCCCGTTTCCTAACTGCTCAACTTTCATAAATCACTATGTCCCAGACACCGTGCGAAGTACTTTATACATATTATCTTATTTATTTCTCAGAGCAACTTTATAAGAAAAAAGAGACTCATTTTAGATATGGGGAAACTGAGATAGCGATTGGTGAGATAAGTTGCCCAACATCAAACATCAAGTAAGTGGTGGGGTAGGATGAAAACTCAGGCCGTCAGCTGGACTTGGAAGGCTTCGCCTCACCCTATGCTATCCTGCCTCCCATGGGTTACTCATGTGTCTGTCCTTGTGCTGGATGTGAGGTCTCTGAAAGCAAGGACCATGACATCTGCTGAGTTGCTCACATCCTCCAATAGCTACTTAGGAGGTAGGCTGAAGGGACAGCAAATCTGCCAGAGCAGCCTCTGCTGTCCTCAAGTTACAACCTCTGCCTGCAGCAGAATCCAGCTTGCATGTCCCTTGTCCCCCAAGCTTGAACTCCAGGGAGACACAATAAGTAAAGAGAAAGTACAAAGGCAGATGTACAATGAGAGAGGCCAACCAGAGAGAAAGGAAAAAAGAAAGATAAGTAAAAACAACCTGTATGTCCATCAGTAGGGAAGTAAATACATTTTGGTATATCTATACTATAGAATAATGTGCAGTAATAAAAAGAAAAAGACAAACTTCTATATAGGACATGAAAAAACTCTCCAAGATACACAGTTAAGTGAAAAAGCCTAGTTGTAGATCAATACGTATATTAAGATCCTAGCCAGGTAAAAAACACCAAAAAATAAAAGATGTGTGTGTAAAAGTTTATGTGCCTATGTGAATGCATACAAAGGAGATGGAAAAGATGCACAAAAAATGATTTTGGTTTTTACTCAGATTCAGAGAATGAAACATATACCTCAATTAATGGCATATTGTCATCTTTGGTGTACATAGGACCTCTCGTTAGCCCGACCTACCCACTTCCTTCCTTCCTTCTTCTTTTATCCCATTCCCATTATTGTCCCCTATCATAGGCAACCATTCCAATAGTATGTGCCGTGGTTTTAAAATACCTACACAAATTCTTTGACACTCCTCTATTCAAAAGTGGAGGCTAATCTCCCTCCCTTTGAGTGTGGTCCAGATTTAGGGACTTGCTTCTAGCACATAGAATGTGGCAGAAATGTCAGTGTGTAACATCTGAAACCAGTTTATGAGGCACACCGCAGCTTCCTCCTTGCTCTGTCTTGTATCATCCACTCTGGGGGAAGCCAACTGCTACCATGAAGACACCCAAGTACCCTGTGGGGAAGCTCGCATGGGACTGAGGCCTCTCACTGACAGCCAGAACTGACTTGCCAAGCATGGGAATTTGCCACCTCAGAAACAGCTCTTCCAGCCCCAGTCGAGCCTTCAGATGACCAGCCCTGGCTGACACTTTGAGTGCAACCCACGAGAGACCCTGAGCCAGGATCCCCCAACTAAGCTGCTCTCATACATAGAATTCCTGGTCCACAGAAGCCATGTGAGATAACAAATGTTTATTGTTGTTTAAGTTGGGGGGTAATCTGGTAAGCAGCAACAGATAACTAATGCAAGCGATATGTGTTATTGAAGCGTTGCACTGTTGTATGAATGCATTTTAAATTTACACAAATAGTATTGTATTAGTTGGGTGTGATGGCACCTGCCAGTAATCCCAGCTACTTGGGAGGCTCGGGCAGGAGGGTTGCTTGAGCAAGGAGTTTGAATCTACTGTGGGTAACCTAGCAAGACCCTGTCTCTACAAAAAAAACAAATGGTATCGTATTATGTATTTCATTGTTTCTTCTTCTAGCCAACTCAATGGTTTTCAGTCCCCTGATGCTCCCTGCTGCGAAGTACTCCATGGTATATACTCATCACATGTGGACCACCCAGAGCCCCAGGGATGGACATCTAGATTACCTCCAACTCCTCATCACCCCAAATAATGTTGTCATCTGTTACCTTGTACATGTCTCCTTGTGGGCCCATGCAAGATTTTTAAAAACATGCATCCAGGAGCGGGATGCTGGGTTAACTGAGGAAGCGCTGCCAGAGTGCCGTCAGAATGGCTGCAGGGTCTGCGCGCGCCCAGCAGCACTGCGTGGGGCCTAGAGCCCCGCAGCCTCGTGGACACCTGCTATTAACCAGATTCCTACCTCTGTAGTCAACTAGCTATAACGGATTATCTTGTTGCTGTTGAAGCTTTGAGTGAAGCTCTTTCAGGGGACAACATGGCCTTCAACGTCAAGAATGTGTCTGTCAAAGATGTTCGTTGTGGGCCTGGCGCGGTGGCTCACGCCTGTAATCCTAGCACTCTGGGAGGC